GACATGTTACCACTGCCAAAGGAGAAAACAGAACAATCCTCCCTCATGGTATCCCTATAAGACTCAACAAGCTCTTGTGTTCCTGGCACATGGTAGGTGCTCATTAAACATGTGTGTCTATAAATATATAATTGACCAACTGTTGGCTATTTTTATTACTATGATTAAAATGATGATTTATTGGCATCAAGAACTTGTGAGATAAATGTTTAGGTTTCCTGTTAATAGAAAATTAATGCAAGCCCTCTGTGGAAAACAGCAAGGTGATTCCTTAAAAAGTTAAATACAGAATTAGGCCGGGTGCGGTGGCTCAAGCCTGTAATCCCAGCACTTTGGGAGGCCGAGACGGGCAGATCACAAGGTCAGGAGATCGAGACCATCCTGGCTAACATGGTGAAACCCCGTCTCTACTAAAAATACAAAAAAACTAGCCGGGCGAGGTGGCGGGCGCCTGTAGTCCCAGCTACTCGGGAGGCTGAGGCAGGAGAATGGCGTAAACCTGGGAGGCGGAGCTTGCAGTGAGCTGAGATCCGGTCACTGCACTCCAGCCTGGGCGACAGAGCGAGACTCCATCTCAAAAAAAAAAAAAAAGTTAAGTACAGAATTACCATATGACTTGGCGATTCTACTTCTAGGTATCTACCCAAGAGAGAAATGAAAACATATGTCCACCCCAAAACTTGAACACATATGTTCATAGTAGCATGATTCACAACAGCCAAAAGGTGAACAGATAAACAACAACAACAACAAAATCCATACAGTGAAATGAAGTCAGCCCTAATGACCAACCTGGACAATATAGCAAGACCTCATCTCTACAAAAATAAAAATAAAAATTAGCTGGGCATGGTGGTGCGTGCCTGCAGTTCCAGCTACTCGGAAGGCTGAGGCAGGAGGAGGATCGCTTGAGCCCAGGACTTCAAGGCTGTAAAGAGTTGTGACTGCACCACTGCACTCCAGCCTTTCGGTGACAGGGTAAGACTCTGTCTCAAATTAAAAAAAAAAAAAAGAAGAAGAAGAAACTGATTCATACTGCAACGTAAATGAACTTCAAAAACATTATGTTGAGTAAAAGAAAACAGACACAAAAAGATCACATTTTGTGTAATTCCCTTTCTATGATGTACCCAGAATAAGCAAATCCATAGAGACAGAAAGCAGATTCAAGGTTACCAGGGGACGGGAGGAGGAGGGAAATGGGAAGTGATTACTCAATGGGTATAGAGTTTTTTTATGGGGTGATTAAAACTTTTGAAGCTGGAGAATGCTGGTGGTTGCCCAACATGGTGAATACACTAAATACCACTGATTGTTCACTTGTAAATGGTTAATTATATGTTACATGAATTTCACCTCGATTTTAAAAAGATGATATAAAAGCAAGCCACAATTATATGTCTATATATCATGATGTTCTCTATAAGGCACGTTTACCTACTTTCTCTCATGAAAATTTCCTAGTCCAAAGGCCCATAAGATGATAGGGGAAACTGAGGCTCCAACAGGCTGTGGGCCCTCCTCCCGGCTCAAGGGCTATGGCAGCTCCAAGCTCAGAGCAGCAAGCTATTCCCAGGTGTGGCCCCAGGAGGTCCTGATCGGGGGTGGAGTCTGTGACTGGAGCCTGATCTGTGTAATTCCAGGTGGGGGCACCCTGGGGCCAAAAGGCCTCACTCCAGGCTGACTCACAGCCTCACCCTCTCCATCCTGGAGTTCCCTATCTGGCTTCTCTGGTGGGGAACCTCCACTGGAGGAGGGGAGGGCAAGAGGCTTAAGCATCTGCTACATGCCAGCCCCTCCTGGGGCGCTACTCCTTGGTCTGTTTGGAGTCTCAGAACCAGGCAGGATGGTGGTCAGGAAACTGATGCTCTGAGTGGGAGGAGGAGGGAGGAGGAAGGAGAAAGAAGAAGAAGAGAGGCCGGGCACTGTGACTCACACCTGTAATACCAGCACTTTGAGAGGCCAAGGGGGGAGGATCACTTAAGGTCAGGAATTCAAGACCAGCCTGGCCAATATGGTGAAGCCCCGTCTCTACTGGGAAAAAAAAAAAAAATTACAAAAATTAGCCAGGTGTGGTGGTGCACACTCGTAGTCCCAGCTACTCGCGAAGCTGAGGCAGGAGAATCACTTGAACCCGGGAGGCAGAGGTTGCAGTGAGCTGAGATCATGCCACTGCACTCCACTCTGGGAAGAAGAAGGAGAAGGAGAAGAAGAAGGAGGAGGAAGAGGAAGAGGAAGAGGAGGAAGAGGAAGAGGAGGAGGAGGAAGAGGGAGAAAGAAGAAGTAGAAGAAGGAGGAGGAGAGGAAGAAGAAGAAGAGAAGGGAGGAGGGGGGAAGAGGAGGAGTAGAGAGAGAAATAGAAGGAGGAGAAGAGGGAGGAAGAATAAAGGGAAGGAGGAAAAGAGAAAGAAAAACATATATTAAAAAGGCAGAAGAAGAAAAACCTTTATTAGTACCTGTCCATATTATTTTTTAACTTTTTAAAAATTTTTTTAGAGACAGGATCTCACTCTGTTGCCTATGCTGGATGCAGTGGCACAATCATAGGTCACTGCAGCCTCAACCTCTTGGGCTCAAGCAATCCTCCTACTTCAGCCTCCTGAGTAGCTGGGACTATAAGCATGCACCACTACACCTGGCTAATTTTTAAAATTTTTTTGTAAAGATAGGGTCTTGCTCTGTTGCCCAGGCTGGAGTGCAGCAGTGGTGCAATCACAGCTCACTGCAGCCTCCAACTGCTGGGCTCAAGCAATCCTCTCACCTCAGCCTCCTGAGTAGCTGGGACTACAGGCACGCACCACTACACATAGCTAATATTTTTTAATGTTTTTGTACATTGATGGAGTCTTGTTAGATTACCCAGGCTGGTCTTAAACTCCTGGGCTCAAGTGATCCTCCCATCTCAGCCACCCAAGTAGCCAGGACTACAGGTGCATATCAGTGCCACTGGGTAATTATTTATTTTTTTCGAGGGACAGGGTCTTACTATGTTGCCCAGGCTAGTCTCAAACTCCTGGCCTCAAGCAACCCTCCTGACTCAGCCTCCCAAAGTGTTGGGATTACAGGTGTGAACTGCCACACCTGATCTACTGGAGCTCATTGGTTCATTTGAGAGTGAGCTCTCTCAGGTGTTCTCTGATACCTCTGGAGGTGCCCAGGTAATATGGTTTTGTTGTGTCCCCATCCAAATCTCATTTTGAATTATAGTTCCCATAATCCCCATGTGTCATGGAGGCATCCAATGGGGGGGGTAATTGAATCATGGGGTAGATTACCCCCATGCTGCTGTTTCCATGATAGTGAATGAGTTCTCACGAGATTTGATGAATTTATACGGGGCTTTTCCCCCTTTAATTTGGCACTTCTCCTTCCTGCTGTCATGTGAACAAGGACGTGTTTGCTTCCCCTTCCACCATGATTGTAAGTTTCCTGAGGCCTCCCCAGCCCTGCGGAACTGTGAGTCAGTTAAACCTCTTTCCTTTATAAATTACCCAGTCTAGGGCAATCCTTTATAGCAGCATGAGAACGAACTAATACACCAGGTACACAAGGCCACACTGAGGATCCAGAGTCCCGCTCATGAGGAAGATAGAGCTGGACACAGACATACCCAGGTCCAAAGGGTTAGGACTGAGAATAGGTCTGTCTGGGAAGTCAGGGAAAGACTCCTGGAGGAGGCGGCCATTGGAGCTGGGTGTCGAAGGCTGAGCAAGAGCTTGCCAAGCACACTTGGGAGTCTCACATCTTGGGATAGGTGTGGACTGCACAAGGAAGAAGCAATTCTTCCACATCTCCCTCCCTGCCAGTCAGAGTCAGCCCAAGTGATGACAGCAGGCTGCAGGCTGAGTCACCAAGAGTCCTGGCCATAATGGGAGTGTCAGAACCAAATGATGGGAGTGCCATGGCCAGGGATTGAGTAACACTTACTTAACAAAACCATGGGGAAAAACTGCCTATCCAAACATGCTTTGCTCTGACTGCCAGATGGATGGACATTCCCTCGAAGTTCCTGGAACTCTTAGTCATTGTCACATCTTTGCCCATACCGTTCTCACAATCTGGATTGCCATTCTTGCTTTGGTGAACTCTTATTCATCCTTCAAAGCTCTATTCAAATGACCCTTCCTCTGGATATCCCACCTGTCTAAAATCTCAGATAGGCTCTGGGAGCTGAGGACTCACACATAGCTCAGAGGCCCAGTGCACCTACCTGAGGCTCCCAAAATGGGCTTGATGTAATCAGGGTGCACCAGAACCAACAGCGGCAGGACAGGTCCCATCCACACCAAGAGTATATGGTGCATGTTGTCTAGTACCTTCTTCTCATCTTGAAGGCCCGCCTCATTTGGAAGGTACTGCAAGAGGTAAGGGAGGAGCAATGAGGAGGTACCCAGCCCCAGCTTCCCCCACTGCCTTCCTCCTGCCACCTCCTGTAGTCTCAAAACAAGCCCAATAGTGCTACATGATGATTTTAGGCAGCTGACTGCACCTCCCTGGGCCTCCATTTCCTCATCTGAAAAAATGGAGAAGAATCAACTCTCCCTCTGAGGGCAGCAGAAAGGATTCATGAAATAACAAAGCAAGAGCCCCAGCATGGGCCTGACGCTGGCTGATGTTCAATAGCTAAAAATAGTAGCCAAATGTAGTGGCTCACATCTGTAATCCCAGCACTTTGGGAGGCCAAGGCAAGCAGATCACCTGAGGTTAGGAGTTTGAGACCAGGCTGGACAGCATGGTGAAACGCCGTCTCTACTAAAAATACTAAAATTAGCTGGGCTTGGTGATGGGCGCCTGTAATCCCTGCTACTCAGGAGACTGAGACAGGAGAATCGTTTGAACCCAGGAGGCGGAGGTTGCAGTGAGCCGAGATCATGCCATTGCACTCCAGCCTGGGCAACAAGAGCAAAACTCCACCTCAAAAAAAACATGCCTGTAATCACAGCTACTCAAAAGGCTGAGGCAGGAGAACCACCTGAGCTTGGGAAGTCGAGGCTGCAGTGAGCTTTGACTCAGCAAGGTCGAATGGTTTTTCTGAAGTTACAAGTTAAGTAGGTGACTATTCTGGTTTAGGCTCCCCCAGAAGGAAGTCCTGAGACAATGGTTCTAGGGCAGGTAGTTTATTTGGGGGATGGTCCCCAAAAACATGGGTAGTGAGATAGGGAAAGAAGACCACCAGTAAACAATGAGTTGTCAAGGAAATTGCCACCAAGGGCAACCAGGGCTCAGTCCCACTGGGGAGCCTTGGAGGACAGAGTAGCACATTGCATCTCAGAGTCATCCCATCTGAGGGCAAGAGAGCTGGGGTATTTATGTACCAATGCCCATGAGTCATTGGCTGAGGGTCACTCCTGGGGAAGTTAATTCCCAAGCTCACAGAACAAACAGTGGCAGAACAGGCACTGGGACTCTAGGCATGCACCACCAAGCCCGGTTAATTTTAAAATTTTTTGTAAAAACTGGGTCTTGCTATGTTGCCCAAGCTGGTCTCAAACTCCCAGGCTCAAGCAATTCTCCTGCCTTGGCCTCCCGATGTGCTAGGATTACAGGTGTGAGCCACTGTGCCCAGCCTTTATTTCACCTGCAGAATAGGCTCCAGCCACCAGAGACAGCCCCTAGAACGCAGGAGCTGGCGGCTGGACATCAGGCCACTGCATCCAAAAATGGGTTGAGAGGAATATGGGCAAGCTTTGGCATCATTTGCAAAGCTAGTACCTGAACCCAGGCCACCTAGCTACAAAACTGCACTTCCTCACCTGTTGTATGAGGCAGGAAAGCTTCAGGCTCAACGCTAGAAAAATCCAAGTTCAAACCCAACCTCAGGTGCTGTGTGACTTTGAGCAGGACACTTAACCTCTCTGTGTTCAAATCTATAAAAGTATGAATCCATGAAATAGGACAGATCCATCCCCACTTCACAGGCTGTGAGAATTAGAGAAGAGTTCAGATACAAAGGAGCCTAACCCAGCGCCTAGCCGGTGATAAGGTTCAGCAATTGCCAAATGAGTAAAGCAACAAATGACCCCTTTCTAGCTCCTGTGTCTCCTTCTCCGTCAGGCTCAGCCCTGATTGTGTCCACACCCAAGCCTCAATTGCAGCCTCACCCAGCCCCCGTGGGCCCAGGAGCTGGGTTGGACATACAATGTCAAGGCTGGGCTTTAGAGCTGGCCCTGACCGACTCCTTCAGGCACTAGAGCCTGGCCACTCCCTCTAGGACAACCATCAAATCCAGAGAGGGCTTTCTAGAGTAAGGGCATTGGAGATGAGGCATGAAAAATGAGTAGAAGGTGATCTAGCAGAGAAGGATACCTGGACAGAGAGTATAGTTTTGGCAAAGGCCTTGGAGGTGGGAGCCTTGTTACAGAAGTGGGAAGTGATTTTATGGAGCTAGGGAGGGATGGTGGAACAAGTGAGGAGGATAGAGGCTGGAGCCAAAAGGGCCTTGAACACCAGCCTTTTTCTGAATGGCAGTAGGGAGCCATGGAGGGTGTGTGAGCAGGGGCAGGGATGTGGTTGGATCCAAGAATCCCTCTGGGGCCAGGATGGGAGATGGACTAAAGGGATGAAACTGGAGGTAGGAACTCAAGGAGGAGGCTAGACCATGGACCATCAGGAGAGGATAAGGCCTGAGCAAGGGAGGGGATGGAAGAAATGAAGGAGAAAACTCCAAAAGGGAAAGTCCAGCCTATCTCATCCAGAAAGTAGAGGCATCAGAGAGTAGAACTAAAAACAGGGAGGCTGAGCACGGTAGTTCACGTGATGTCAGGAGTTTGAGATCAGCCTGGCCAACATGGTGAAACCCTGTCTCTACTAAAAATACAAAAATTAGCCAGGTGTGGGGGCATGGGCTTGCAGGCTTGCAGTCACAGTTACTTGGGAAGCTGAGGCAGGAGGATCCCTTGAGCCCAGGAGGTAGAGGCTGCAGTCAGCCATGATTGTACCACTGCACTCCTGCCTAGGTGACAGAGAAAGACCCTGTCTCAAAAAAAAAAAAAAAAAAAGGAAAAGTCCAACCTATCTCATCTAGAAACTAACTACAGAAAGTAGAGGCATCAGAGGGTAGAACTGAGAGCAAGGAGGCTGAAGCTTGACATGCTGGGTTTGAACCCCAGCTCTGCCACTTACAAGCTGTGTGACCTAAGGTCAGCTACTTAACCTCTCTGTGCCTCAGTAATCTTCCATGCAAAATGGGGCTAGTCATGGGACCTACTTACTAGAATTGTCAAGAGAACTGAATGAGTTAATATTTGTCTGGAAAAATACTTGGCACATATCTGCAAAATTAAAAAGGACTCAGCAGGCTGAGGCCAAAGGATTGCTTGAGCTTAGGAGTTCAAGATCAGCCTAGGCAACATAGCGAGACCCTGTCTCAAAAAAAAAAAAAAAAAAAAAAAAAATTCAATGCAATAAAGGGATAAGAGTCCTGACCTGGGACCACAGCATTCAAGGGAGAACAGTGGAACCACACTGAGAAGAGGATGTGTTCTCCTCCCCACCTCCATCCCTACCCTGGGATTCCAAACTCCAAAGGTAAAGGTACCTGTTGCTACAGTGATAGCTATAAAATTATAGAGAGAGTTCTTTTTTTTTTTTTTTTTCTTAGAGAGACAGGGTCTCACTAGGTCACCCAGGCTAGAATGCAGTGACGCAATCATAGCTCACTGCAGCCTCAAACTCCCAGGCTCAAACAATCCTCCTGCCTCAGCCTCCCAAGTAGCTGGGACTACAGGTGTGTACCACTGCACTCAGCTAATTTTTGTAATTTTTCTTATAGAGATGGGTTCTCACTGTGTTGCCCAGGCTAGTGTCAAACTCCTAAGCTCAAGCAATCCTCCTACCTCAGCCTCCCAAGTGGCTGAGACTACAAGCGTGTACCACCACACCCATCTAATTTTTGTATTTTTTGTAGAGACGGGGTCTCACTATGTTTCCCAAGCTGGTCTCAAACTCCTGGCCTCAAGCAATCCTCCCACCTCAGCCTCCCAAAATAATTCATCTTTAAAGTTAGTTCTGCCTCCTCCCAACTGTGTGACCTTGGATAAACTGCTTGCCCTCTCTGAGCCTCAGCCTCATACCCCATCATATAAATCTGCTGCTAGCCCCAACCAGATTCTTGGGAGGCTGTGGGAAGCCAGCAGGCCCACCATCCTTACCTATTACCCTGCACCTGCCCAGCCCAGCCCAGTCCTGCCTGGCCACACTTACCATGCCCAGGTGGCCCAGCAGCCAGTTGCGCCGGGGAGGCTGGGGGAAGCAGCGCAGCCGGCGGCAGGTGATGTAGAAGCTCCGGCAGAGCCTCAGGAACCGCAGCAGCAGGCGGAACAGGAAGAAGAGCAGCAAGAGGAGAAGGGTGGACACCGCGTATATGCGAAACGTTGTCTTCTCCAGCCCCAGGAGGTGCAGCAGGTGGTCTGTGATGGGCAGCATCCTGGGGACACACAGGGTCAGAGGATCCGTGCCATGCACAAGGCGATGACCCATGGGGTCAGGCATGGTGTGCCTAGTGCACAGCAGGTTCCCAGCACACGTGAGTTCCAGACACCAAGGATACCTCTTCATTCCCCAGCCATGACCTCCAGCCAGCTGGACAGATGGATGCACTCAGGGCCCTGCTCGTATGCTCTTAGCCTTGACTTTTGCAAGGTCACGCTCTTGACTTCTCTACCATAGGGCATTCTCTGCCCATGCATAGCCAGTCAGGCTGGGAAACCAAGACCCCCCTCCCAAAGGAGCAGCTCTCAACCAATGACTGAGGCTCATTGGTGGATAAATACCCCAGCTCCCTCACCCCTTAGGTGCAATGACCTGAGATATAGGTTCCACACTCACTCCAGGCTTCCCCAGTGAGATTAAACTCCAGCTGCCCACAGTGGAAACTCCCTATTGGCCACGTCCTTTCCCCCTTTTTCTTTTATCTTTTTTTTTAGTTGAGATGAGATTCGCATAACACAAAATTAATCATTTTAAAGGGAATAATTCAGTGGTATTCAGTACATTTACATATCATGCAACTACCACCTCCGTCTAATTTCAGGACTTCTTTCTTTCTTTCTTTTTGAAAGAAGGTCTCCTCTGTCACCCAGGCTGGAGTGTGCAGTGGCACAATCATGGCTCACTGCAGCCTTAACCTCCCCAGCTCAAGCAATCCTCCCACCTCAGTTTCCCTAGTAGCTAGGACTACAGGTGCATGCCACCAGGCCCAGCTAATTTTTGTATTTTTTTGTAGAGACAGGGTTTTGCCATGTTGCCCAGGCTGGTCTTGAACTCCTGGGCTCCCGCCTTGGCCTCCCGAAGTGCTGGGATTACAGGCGTGAGCTACCTCACCCAGTCAGTTTCAGAACATTTTCATCATCCCAAAACAAAAGCCCATCCCTGTTAGTAGCCACTTCCCATTCTCCCTCCCTGGAGTCCCTGGCACCACTAATCTGCTTTCTGTCTCTATGGATTTAAGTATTCTGGATATTTCATATAAATCTATTAAATTCTATGCAGCCTTTTGTGTCTGGCTTCCTTCACTCAGCATCCTGTTTTCAAGGTTCATCCACATTGCGGCATCGATCAGAGCTTAATTCCTTATACTGCTGAGCAATATTCCATTGTATGGATATTCCACATTTCCTTTTTTTTTTTCTTTTGAGACAGGGTCTGGTTCTGTCACTCAGGCTGGAGTGCAGTGGCATGATCACGGCTCACTCCAGCCTTGACCTTCCAGGCTCATGTGATCCTCCTGTCTCAGCCTCCCAAGTAGCTGGGACAACAGGTGCATGCCACCACACCTGGCCCCACATTTTCTTTACTCCTTCATCTGTGGATGAACATTTGGGCTGTTTCTACCTTTTGGCTATTATGAAATATGCTACTCTGAACATGTGTGTACATTTATTTGTCTGAGTACCTGTTTTCAGTTCTTTTGAGTTCACCTTCTTCTTCCTTGCTGGTATTTTCTGCGATCACTTCCCAAAAAAAATTACTTGCACTCAGATCCTTGCTTTAGGGCCAGCACCTGAGGAACCAAAACAAAGCGAGTAGGTAACCATAATAGGAATGAAACAGTGAGCAGGCAGGAAAGCCTTGCCATGTGCCATGCACCACCATGCTCCAGGCACCACCATGCTCCAGGCAGTACCAGCCTCACCTCAGGGAATCTGATATGGTTTGGATCTGTGTCCCCACCCAAACCTCACGTTGAACTGGAATCCCCAGTGTTGGAGACGGGGTCTAGTGGAAGGTGATTGGATCATGGGGGTGGTTTCTCATTAATGGTTTAGCACCATCCCCTTGGTGAGGTCTTCTAGATAGTGAGTGAGTTCTCATGGGATCTTGTTGTGGGTTTTTTTGTGTTTTGTTTGGAGATGACAGGGTCCTGCTCTTGTTGCCCAAGCTGGAGTGCAGTGGCGCAATCTCGGCTCACTGCAGCCTCCGCCTCTTGGGTTCAAGCAATTCTCCCATCTCAGCCTCCCATGTAGCTGGGATTACAGGCATGCACCACTATATCCAGCTAGTTTTTAAAATATATTTTGGTAGAGACGGGGTATCACCGTGTTGGCCAGGCTGGTCTCGAACTCCTGACCTCAAGCGATCTGCCGGCCTTGGCCTCCCAAAGTGCTGGGATTACAGGCATGAGCCACCCCTCCCAGCCTGGAATCTCATTGTTTAAAAGTATGCAGCACCGGCCAGGCGCGGTGGCTCAAGCCTGTAATCCTAGCACTTTGGGAGGTTGAGGCAGGCAGATCACTTGAGGTCATGAGTTTGACAGCAGCCTGGCCAACATGGTGAAACCCTGTCTCTACTAAAAATACAAAAAATTAGCCAGGCATGGTGGCAGGTGCCTGTAATCCCAGCTACTCGGGAGGCTGAGACAGGAGAATCGCTTGTACCTGGGAGGCAGACCTTGCAGTGAGCTGAGATTGCACCATTGCACTCCAGCCTGGGCAACAGAGCAAGAGTCTGTTTCAAAAAAAAAGTGTGCAACACCCCTCCTGTGCCCCTCACTCTTACTCCTGCACCAGCCAAGTGACGCAGCTACTCCTATTCTGCCTCCTGCCACGATTGTAAGTTTCCTGAAGCCTCCTGAGAAGCTGAGCAGATGCCAGCATCATGCTTCCCGTCCAGCCTGCACAACCATGAGCCAATGACACCTCTTTTCTTTATAGTAATGAGAGAATGGACCAACACAGAATCATACACCAGTCCTCAGAGGTAGGTATTATCATTCACTCCATTTTCCAGATGAAGACGCTAAATCCCGGCTCAATTTCTCAAACTCAATGGAGACAGAAGCTGGCAGGGATTCCCCCAAGGCCCTGCCAAGGGCCACCCTCAATCATCGTCACTTTGAGGGACCAAGAATCTCAGATCACCCCAAGGAGATTCCTGGAAATGACTGGGTCCTGTTCTCTTCTCTCCTTCCCCCCAGTACCAATGGCTGATGGTTCTTCCCTCTGTACAGCTATCTCCTCAGGCATCACAGCTAAAGGTGTGTACTCCAGGTGCTCCCCTGAGCCCTCAGCCCCACCCACCCCTGCCAATAGTGCCCTCCACTAAGGGTTCAGACTAGCTTAGCTCTCTCTCTTTTCTTTTTTTTTTTTTTTTTTTTTTTCTTTTTGAGGCAGAGTCTCACTCTATTGCCCAGGCTAGAGTGCAAAGAGAAGAACTTGGCTAACTGCAAACTCCGCCTCCTGGGTTCAAGTGATTCTCCTGTCTCAGCCTCCCGAGTAGCTGGGATTACAGGTGCCCGTCACCACTCCCAGCTAATTTTTTGTATTTTTAGTAGAGACAGGGTTTCACCATGTTGTTCAGGCTGGTCTTGAACTCCTGATCTCAAGTGATCCATTTGCCTCGGCCTCCCTAAGTGCTGAGATTACAGGCATGAGCCACCACACCAGTCCTCGCTAAGCTCTTCTGAAAGCCAACGCCAAACCACATTTCCCATGCAGAAGTGAAATTTCTTGGCTGGGTGCAGCGGCTCAGCGATGTAATCCCAACATTTTGGGAGACCGAGGCGGGCAGATCACTTGAGGTCAGAAGTTCAAGACCAGCCTGGACAACATGGTGAAACTCCATCTCTACTAAAACTACAAAAATTAGCCGGGCATGGTGGCGGGCGCCTGTAGTCCCAGCTACTTGGGAGGCTGAGGCAGGAGAATCACTGGAACCTGGGAGGCAGAGGTTGCAGTGAGCTGAGATAGCGCCACTGCACTCCAGCCTGGGCGACAGAGCGAGACTCCGTCTCAAAAAAATAAAAATAAAAATAAAAGTAAAAAATAAAAAAGGCTGGGCACGGTGGCTCAAGCCTGTAATCCCAGCACTTTGGGAGGCGGAGATGGGCAGATCACGAGGTCAAGAGATCGAGACCATCCTGGCTAACACAGTGAAACCCCGTCTCTACTAAAAAAAATACAAAAAAAAACTAGCCGGGTGAGGTGGTGGGCGCCTGTAGTCCCAGCTACTCGGGAGGCTGAGGCAGGAGAATGGCGTAAACCCAGGAGGCTGAGCTTGCAGTGAGCCGAGATCCGGCCACTGCACTCCAGCCTGGGCGACAGAGCGAGACTCCATCTCAAAAAAAAAGTAAATGAATAAATAATAATAATAATAATTTAAAAAATAAAAAAAGAAAGAAAGAAAGAGAGAGAAAGAGAAAAAAGAAAAACAGAAAAAAAATAAGCCGATCACAAAAGGACAAATACTGTATGATTCCACTTGTATGAGGTCCCTGAAGTAGTCAAATTCATACAAACATAAAGTCAAATAGGGGTTTCCAGGGGTGCGGGGGAAGGAGAATGAGGAATTAGTGTGTCGTGGGGATGGAGTTTCAGTTTGGAAAGATGAAAAAATTCTGGAGATGGATGGTAGGAATGGTTGCACAACACTGTGAATTTGCTTAATGCCACTGAAGTGTACACTTAAAAATGGCTAAGATGGCCAGGCGCAGTGGTGCACGCCTGTAATCCCAGCACTTTGGGAGGCCAAGGCGGGTGGATGACTTGAGGCCAGGAGTTCGAGATCAGCCTGGCCAACATGGTGAAACCTCATCTCTACTAAAAGTACAAAAAGTAGCTGGGTGTAGTGGCGGTTGCCTGTAGCCCCAGCTACTTGGGAGGCTGAGGCAGGAGAATGACTCGAACTCGGGAGGCAGAGGCTGCAGTGAGCTAAGATGGCGCCACTGCATTCCAGCCTGGGCGACAGAGCGAGATTTTGTCTCAAAAAAAAAAAAAAAAAGATGGTTAAGATGGTAAATTTCATGGTGTATGTGTTTTGCCACAATTAAAATTTTTAAAAACACAAAACTAGGCACTGTGGCAGCACCCGTAATCCCAGCTGCTAAAGAGGTGGAGGCAGAAGGATCACTTGAGCCCAGGAGTTGGAGGCTGTAGTGCTCTATGTTCACACCTGTGAACAGACCCTGCACTCCAGCCTGGGCAACACAGCAAGAACTCATCTCTGAAAAAAATACAGACCAGCTGGTGTAAGTGATACTTCCTTTGGAAAGCCCGGAGTAGGGATAGGGATGAGGAGGAAGCGACTTCCCAAATGGAAGTACAAGGAACTCCAAGTCACAGGTCCCAGGCAGACGCTCCAAACTCGAGATGCTGATGTGCAACTGGGCTGCTTCTCACACAGGCAACTCCAGGTAACCTGCTCCATAGGAAGCAACTATGAGTATTTATTTCCCTTTTCTTCTTTTGAGACAGGGTCTTGCTCTGTTGCTCAGGCTGGAGTACGGTGATACAATCATAACCCACTGCAGCCTTGAACTCCTGGGTTCAAGGGATCCTTCCACCTCAGCCTCCTGAGAGTAGCTAGAACTACAGGCACATACTACCATGCCCAGCTAACTTTTTTAATTTTTTGTAGAGATGGGGGTCTTACTATATTGCCCAGGCTGGTCTTGAACTCCTGGCCTTAAGCATTTCTCCCATCTCCACCTCCCAAAGTCCTGGGATTAGAGGAGTGAGCCACCGTGCCCGGCGGTGGTATTTCTTTCCATACCAATTTAATGATGGGTAATGATTATCTCTAGCAATGCTGGGGAAGCCAGCTAGCGATAATTACTACTAATTAGAACTTTTCACTAAGTGCTGTTTTCGTTTTCTTTTTTCTTTTTGAGATGGAGTCTCGCACCGTAGCCCAGGCTGGAGTGCAGTGGTGTGATCCTGGCTCACTGCAACACCCACCTCCCGGGTTCAAGCGATTCTCCTGCCTTAGCCTCCCAAGTAGCTGGGATCATAGGCGCGCACCACCACGCCCGGCTAATTTTTATATTTTTTAATAGAGACGGGGTTTCACCACATTGGCCAGGCTGGTCTTGAACTCCTGACCTCAGGTGATCCACCTGCCTTGGCTTCCCAAAGTGCTGGGATTACAAGCATGAGCCACCACATCCGGCACATTAAGCTCTCTTACAGACATTTCTTTAGCATGCAGTGGGCAAATACTTTTTGAGCCCTGGTGATGTGTCTAGCTCAGTTCTAGGCGTTGAAGATATAATGGTGAGCAAGACAGACATGGCCCTGGCTCTTGAGAAAGCAGACCAATTACAGACACAATGCAGTGCGATATAAGTACACATGTCATGAAGGAGGACAAGTGGAGCAAGGGTAGAGATTGAATCATAACTCCGCGAAAGATACTATTTCCTAATCTTTAGAACCTGTGAATGTGGCCGGGCGCGGTGGCTCAAGCCTGTAATCCCAGCACTTTGGGAGGCCGAGACGGGCGGATCACTAGGTCAGGAGATCGAGACCATCCTGGTTAACACGGTGAAACCCCGTCTCTACTAAAAAATACAAAAAACTAGCCGGGCGAGGTGGCGGGCGCCTGTGGTCCCAGCTACTCAGGAGGCTGAGACAGGAGAATGGCCCGAACCCGGGAGGCGGAGCTTGCAGTGAGCTGAAATCCGGCCACTGCACTCCAGCCTGGGCGACAGAGCGAGACTCCGTCTCAAAAAAAAAAAAAAAAAAAAAAAAAAAAAAAGAACCTGTGAATGTGACTTTATATGCCAGA